AAGAATCCCCACACATTGTCCTATTATTTGCAAAACAACTTTATTTCAATATACAATATTTCAGTCTTTAGACCTTCATCACGTAAAATGAAGGAATAAAAAATATTCCAAAACACATACAGACAGCAGCGTCTCAGGTGAGGCCGACCAGAGACAAAGAGCTGTCACTGCAACCAGTCCCACAGTCTCTTTGTGTTTAGTCTATTAGAAGACACCTCCCATTGAAGATGGATACTGTGAGCAACAGCTACATCAGTGTCTAACAGTGAATAATATCATTCTATCCAAAAACACGTCTAACATGTCAACAATCAGTTTTTAATGAGATGATACTGTGTAGATCAGTTTCAATTAGTATCCTCAATAAAGGACTCTTCCTTTTGCAGCCCATCTGTGTGGAGTTTACATGTTCTCCCCGTGTCAGCGTGGGTTTCCTCCAGGTGCTCCAGCTTCCTCCCACAGTCCAAAGACATGCAGGTTAACTGGTGACTCTAAATTGTCCGTAGGTGTGAATGTGAGTGTGAATGGTTGTCTGTCTCTATGTGTCAGCCCTGTGATAGTCTGGTGACCTGTCCAGGGTCGCCCCCGCATACACAGCTCCAAATGGGAAGCAGGGAATCACAACACAAAGACCAAATATCCGTAATAAACCACAGTATTGATAACATAATAGGAACAAGTATCAAGTAAAAAATATTAATATAGGAAAAACGTGAACATATTGGAAGGGGAAATACTGAATCTTAAAATATGGACAAATAAACATGCAGACTGTGCACAAACCATGTCCTTCCTGTATCAGTGGGATTCAGTCATCCTCCTGGTCCATGTACAGTTTGTTTAAAATCAGAGCTGTGAGGTTGGACAGTCAAGTGTCTGACGCCACCTAGTGGTGCCATCGCTGAACTACATTAAGATACACAGACGCTGCACCCCAAATTGCTCCAGTCACACGTCTTTACCAACTTTGCAATCAATTTAACGCCCTTTCAATCGAAATAACTGAGATTTTGTTTTCTTTAAAAATGCAACAACTGACAAATAAATTTGAAATATATTTTAAAGATTTCTTTCCCGTATAGTTCATGATCTCGTCTGCACCCACAGAAGCAGAAAATAGACCAGAATTAAAATGCAGCCACAAAAGTTTTAGGCTTTGCGAAAGAAGCGACTCTCTTGTTATCAGATGTGGGACCAAGTCATTGTTTTGCAAGTCTCAAGTAAGTCTCAAGTCCTAAACTTTGTTTTTTGAGTTCTAAACAAGTCCTTATGAGCTCTTCATCAAATATAATGCCATTTTAACAACCGAGTCGTATTATTTTAAATGTACAAAAATCATTAATGTGTTTTTTAAATGTATTTAATTCCTAAAACAAGTTTGTTGGAAGTTGTTGTGTCTCCGTCTGTATTGTTTCGACTGACATATTCACATACTGCAATTAGTTTTTTGCTGACTGCTGCTGCTATGTTTTATGGAAACAAAATAATCTTTGGCATCACTTTTTCTAACTGGAGCTCAGTAAAGTTCAAATTGCAAGTCTTTTGTCAAGTCTAAAGTCCACACCTCTACTTGTAATAATGTAATCCTTCTCTGAGACTTTATTTTGGAGGTGTTGAAAAGAGTTCTGGAAAATGCTGAAATCAGCCAGCTGAAGCTGATGAAGATGAGTTAGACTGAAGGAAAGTAAAGGGAGGAATCAATGTTGGTATCAACAGACATGGCAACCTTTTAATGTTCTTGAGATATTTCATTCTGGACCAAAGTGAGGGACAGACAGACAGACAGACAGACAGACGGACGGATGCAGCTAATGGCTAAAAATAACTCAGCACCTACTGATCAGATTCTCATGACATGTCCTGATTCCAGTCCTGCTCTCCAAATGATAAACCCTTTGAATTTTAATGACCCCTTAACCTTTCCCTTAACGCTACACTCAAGACAGTCTCTACATTCTCACCTTCACTGCATGTAAGGCTCTAGAAAAGATAAATCAGCAGGATGTTGTTGTTGTCCAGCACGTTCAGATTGTCTGTGATGAACACTGCAGCCTCTGTGGGACACGAGCAGGACGTCACTCTTGTTACAGTGCAGGTTCTGTGACTCCTCTTGTTTGGCCTCTGCTCAGTGTTTTATACAGCAGAGTGTAGAAGCAGCTGGTCTACAGATTAGTGCTGGTGTTAATACTGCTGACGGGCTTTAACCCTGCTGCAGGCGGGCGGGACCTGCGGGACGCCGATATCTATCCATCTGCCACCAGCGCCTCCACAACCCTCCTCCTGATTTTGTTTGTCTTGATGAAAGAGTGTCCAGACTTTTACCTAACAAGCTAATTAAAGCTAATTAGTCGTGACTTTTACCTACTGTAAAGTCAGAGCAGGAGCTCATTCCTTCTTAACGTACATATGACTACAGGTGTAGTCAGTTGGAGTGGGACATAACATAGGGAAATGGTAAAAGTGTAAAAAGGCATCGTTCTGCCAACTATTTACTTTATCATGTTCACCATATATGCATTTACATGATGGTCATGTCAGTGTTGTCTTTGCAGCTTGTTTGATTTTCCCTCAAGTGACTAAAAAATGAGTTATTTCATGTTTAAAGGCTTTTTACTCTTTGTTTTATGTTCTGTTTTGAATTTAGGAACTTCCTGAATGAGATTACTATGCTAGCTCGTAAAGCAAGAGTTTTATGTAAACTGTAAACTGCAGAAGTGATGCAAGATATACAGGATATTTTTGGAGAAGAGCTTTACAAATATACAGTTAAGCATCCAGGTCTTGTCTCACTAAGTACATTAACATGACATGAAAGAAAATTGATTTATTGTGTTAGTTTGACTAAAACTGGACTTCTAAAATACATGTCAACATGTTCGTCCGACTGTAATCATACTAAATCAAATTTCTCAAAGTGGGACTAACACACCCAGATCATGTGACTCCTGCATGTATACAGTCAAACCCAAACTGGCCGAGGCGCTCTGAGCATGCTCCACAGTTTCCGCCCAGGGATTTGACCCTGACGTCGGATAGCATTAAATGTGTAACAGAAGAAGAAGCCGGTAACAACACTGAGAAATCTACATCCAGAGCCGTGACTTTTTGGACGGACTAAATGTACAGAGCTGTAAAGTTGTCCACCATGGTACCAGTTAGCTGCTAGCTAACCGTAGCTAACTTGTCAATCAGTTGTTGTTTTCCCAATGTGCAGACATTTCTGACAGCTGTTCTTCGTCTTTGAGTTAGCCACTAACTGCTAACAGCTCTGTTTTAAATCGGTGGGTTGCACACATAACATAACGTCAAAATTTCACACGTTTTAGCCTCCTCACACTGGCTCCCAGTATGTTTTAGAACAGATTTTAAGATTTTACTTTTAAGGCTCTTGTTTCTTTCCCAGCTATATATCTCTTTTTCTTAGTACTGTACACGGTGCTAGGTTCTTTGTCTGTTCCAGAAGTCTGGCTGAAACTTAAAGGGACAGAGTGTTTGCAGTCAGGGCCCCAAGGCTCTGAAACAATTTGCCCCAAATGATTCAGGTCCACCAAGTCAGTGATCGCTTCAAGCCCCTCCTTAAAACATACTTTATTTTTGGAGAGCCTTCCTGATTTTACTTGAACTCTCATTTCCTTTCAACTGTCTTTTATTTCCTTGTTTCCTCCTGTTTTTTGTTTGTTTGTTTTCTTTTAAACCTGTTGATTTTAGGACTTTTATGTTTTATTTTGCTGCCTTGTGAAGCTCTTTGGAACACTGCTTTTGAAAATGTGATTTATAGGGAAAGATTATTATTCTATTAGATTATTTTATTAAGTCATTTAAGCAGTTTTGACCAAATAAATGACAAATACAGAATCAAAATTAGAATCAGAAATACCTTATTGATCCCCAAGGGGAAACTGTGATTCCTTGCAGTCGCTCCAGAATTATAAGAAGTAAGAAAAAGAGTATGAAATAGAGGTATGTAAATATAAAGTAATAAAATTAACAAAAAACAGAAATACAAATGTGCTTTACCCTACACACCGTTTACAGTGATGATATCTTATTAAGTAACTTTTTTTGTTTTATGCTTTATTTCTTGCATATCTGTGATACAAAATATTTATTTGAGATACATTTAGCCTGTTAGTACAGAAGCGTATTGCATTCACTTGACAAATAAAAAAAGCACTGTTTTTCTGAGTAATTTCTTCTGTTTTTCAGGGTATTTTTTTCTGTTTTGTTTTTTTTTGTGGTAATTTTTTTCTGTTTTTCGTGGTAATTTTTTTTTCCCTGAACGAGGAGACGAGATACTTCAAAATCTCGCGAGAAGCTCCCACCTGGCACCTGCAAGTGACCGATGCCTGCGTAAAGTCGACAAACTAATGATAACACCATCTATATGACTTAAAGACAAGAGTATCTGCCAGTGTCAGTGCCAAACCCGAAACAAAGTAAAACTGGATTAAACTAAACAAGCGGGTCATGTTTGCTTCCATTATATTGAGCTCTCAAGAAAGGAATGAAAGCATCTGTTGTTCTATTGCTCTCTTAACTCAGGAAAACAGATAAAATTACCCCAAAAAACAAACAAAAAAAAATACCATGAAAAACAGAAACAAAATAACAGCGAAAAACAGAAAAAAAGTACCACGAAAAACAGAAAAAATTACTCAGTAAAACAGATTTTTTTTTTTATTTGTCAGGTGAATGCAATATGCTTCTGTATGTTAGCACATTTTCTCTGACAAAAACTGTATAACTGTATAATGTGGTGCGAAATTAGAATATTGTATTTTCTTACAGAAGACGTCATAAGTACATTTTTTTTATTTTTCTTATGAGTAAAATTATTCAACATTTTATAAATATTTTATGATGAAATGCGTCTTATTTACAATTTTTTAACGTCCATCATCTGGCTCCTCCCCCGCGCTACGTCACACTCCATCCCGTTCCACGCGCTAACCCCCCCGCCCCTCGTTTTCCCTCCGCAGAGCTGCATTCCTGCTGCCACATCGGACCGAGCCATTTTCTCTTAGCAACAACACTTTAGCTTCACAGTGGCCCAAAAACACACTTTCCAAATAGTTTAAAGTCATAACAAACATTAAATGACACCGTTCTGTGTGTGTGTTCACTAACGTCACCATATTGTCCATGTTACAGTGGATAGCTGTAGAGTTTGTCCAAACGCACACCCCTCTCCTTCCTTTTTAAGTGGTCCGCTCCGTCTTGCTGCCATGTTGGATGTACGCATCGCCGCTGCAGCTGCTGGAGTTTCCGAATGAAAGTTGAGCGTTTAACCGCGTTCATACTCACAGCGACTCCTTATTTTTTATTTCAACACTAAACGGAGAGGTTAAGTTTCTTTGTGAAGCAGGAGCAAGCCTGGAAAACACCCCCCGGTCCTCCTCCTCCTCCGCCCTCCAGCCCGGAGTCGGACTCAGCGGAGATGATCCGGTTGCAGGCCACAGCAACCGGAGCCCGCATGGATTTTCTGTAATTAGCAGTGTTTTGCTGAGTCCGTCCGGGGGGAACCGCATCGTTTCGGGGGTTAACTAGAAGATTTCGGAGCCATGAACAGCCACCCGCCGCCCCGCAGGGCTGTTAACGTCGGCTCCATCCTCCTGACCCCGCAGGAGAACGAGTGCCTGTTCGGCTACCTGGGCAGGAAATGCGCCGTAAGTTGTACCGTTTGTTTACCACCTGCAGGCTCTGATAATGTGCAGGTACATTCACCCACATGTCAGAAAGAAACGTCAAAGTCAGCTTCTCCTCTGTCAGCTGAGACAGAGCAGCAGAGACGTGTTGAAACACCGCTGGGGCCCGGTGTTGACACGAAATCGGTGACCCTTCAGACTCCTTGACATTGTTACTGTTTGTTCCACATACTTGATACTTCAGTGTTCAAAGATATGGTGACCCCATCTTTATTTGGCCTGTGTGTTGGTTTCAGTTGCATAACCTTAGTGCAAAAGGTGAACCAGATATGGGCCTGATAACCTCCACCTCAGAAAGTCAAAACTGTGAAGCTGCTTTCAGTATAAATGTGATATTTAGGTTTTTAAATACAGGGACAGACAACTGAATCTAAACATGAACAACACTAATATATATTATTTATACATCCATAAAAATAATTTGTGATTATGTCTCTGATAAACTATGTATTTGTTTATATTTCTTGCAATTATGAACATTTGTCAAACACAAAATGCAACATTTTTGATAACTGATCACGTGTGTAGGTAATATTTCTGAAGCAAAAATGGCTAAATCAACCGGTTTTAGCTCCTCAAATGTGCATATTTGCTGGTTTTCTCAGTCTGTTATGATAGTAAACTGAATAACTCTTGTATTATGGACTTAAAGGGGAACTAAAGCCATTTTCAAAATTCACACATGCTGTTCATATGGTCAAAGACAGTCCAAAAATATAAGCAAATACAAGCATCTCTCTCCCAAATTCTGAGACCAGAGTGCCAAAACTCAAATTTGTGATGTTATGGGTTATGAAGTAGGGATGCACAATATTGTTGTTGTTGTTTTTTGCTGATATCCGATACGCTGATATATATTATTTGGCCAAGACCGATATCGATATCCACTCCCCACTGTCATGGAGCAGCTCCAGACTGTGTACCCAATGACATCTAAAGTTTGTGAATTACTCCACTGGCTTCCGGCTGTAAGAGAGTAGCTCATGTTCAGAAATACTGACTGAACGTCCCTAGGCCATGGAAATAACATATGGGAGTTCTTGATTTAGGCTGTGTTCCCTTTTAACTTTGGGTTTTGGGAACTGTGATGGCCATGTTGTACAACTGTCTAATATTTTATAGACCAAACCAATTGATTGATCAAGATAATGATTAGCAATGGAAATGACTTTCAGTGGCAGCCATATTCTCAGTTAACATGATTATAAATAATTTCAGTAGTTTAAAAAAAAACTACAAATTGAACCTTCAAACGCAGACATAGGCCAGTGTTTTCATATGGCCCCATATATTTGTATCTGAAACATGTTTAATTGATTAGTCAAACTTCTCCAATGTAAGCGTTTGCTGCTCATCTATTATATTTAGTTGTAAACAAAGCAGGCTGTCGTTTGTTTTTGGACAAAATTTGTAAGATTAGTTATTACTAAAAAAGAATCAAGCTGTAATAGTCCAGATTTATGGCCTGTTGTGCATAAATCTGACTATAACACCTCAACACTTTACTTGTCGATATTTGGTCAAACTATCAGTCTGTTTTAAATTTCTGATCCTGATGCGTGTCAGATTTTTCTGTTGAGACATAGAACTATAGGAGTCCCCAGCAGGGCACCAGGTGGTACGCCAGTCACATCATCAGTGTAACTTAATTTTATATGACCATTTTTACGTGTGTAGAGGTTGTCATGGTTTGCAGGATGGGTAAGAACTGGGTCACTGGCAGGTGTCGCTCAGTATGTGAAGCCACTGAATCTGCTTGAGGCTTTTTGGATACAATTTTAAACCCGACCAGCAAACTTAAATTTGGTTTGACAATCTAACATCTGGCGGATTGCTCTTGTTGTCATTAGTTGTCTAAAACTCTAGATCTTGATGTGAAACATGAGAAAGGTCTCCTGTCAGAGATACCCAAATGTTGCTGGAGGCGTTGTTGAGTTGCAGCATTTCCTTTCACTTCATGAAGGATGGTGTCATGTTTCGGGAACTCGGAGAGATGGGAGAGGAAGCTGTGAAACACCTGTACTTTACATTTATCAGATTCAACCAATTGTTATAATGGATGCCACTTAAACACTTCAGGGCCACTTCAATCAGCTGTAAGCCATTCTAATTAGAGAGATTTTTAATGTGAAAACCAGCAACACCTGGACTAGATGCTGTGCCACTGAACATGGTTCTTTATTCCTTTCTGCACTAGTACACCAAATCATAACCATCCTCGCAGATCAGAACACAAAGTCATGAAATCTGAGTCTGTTGTTTATCTGATCTTTTTGGGGGTGATGTAATGAGATGACGGTTGCTGGGCAGCTCAGGTTTTAATGTCGGAGGCTGAACTGGAGCTGAGCCCGCAGGGTCAACTGCATGAAGCAGCTGCATGCAGGGTGAAACACCTGAGATCAGAGGTCAGAACGGTAAATTAAACCAAGACTGGGCAGGTTGATTTGCACTGAGCAGCAGGGCTGAATATGGCTCCTGAACACTTTTTGTAGTGATTGAAATGCGACGGTAACTCAGTATCATATTATGTATTTTAATCTTGTTGATTTGTAGTTTGATCAGATAGTTCCTGATTTAAAACCTTTTTTTTTTTCCATTTTTAGACATCTTTCTCTCGACAAGTTTCTTTATGGCTCCTTGTGTTTAAACAACATTTAACATAGCTTCTTTTGTTCAATAGAAAAATGTCCTGTTTCGTATAAAAACATTCATATTCCTCAAAGTAAGGTGTCACAAAAGTATGATTTCTTTATTGTGTCAGCAGTAGTATCATCAAATGTAAAACTATAACCAGCGTAGCTGACCAGTGCAGGCTTATATTAGGGAACCTCAGTCTTACATCAAACATTAACATGTGCTGAAGACAGCGGCTTGTTTGTAATCTGATCTTATAAAATCAAAACCATTTCCATCGCTGTCACTAAATATGGGGTTCTTTTAAGTGCCTCGCTGTTACCCTCCTCTGCCTCTTTGTTGATTGTTGTATTGTTCTTTTATTAATTGCTTTATTATAGATCACCACCAACTGTCATACTCAAGCAAACAAAATTCATGAGAGAATTATTACCACAGCTGTCTCGTTCTCACGCCCAACTCCAGTCTTCTGAACACTTAAACCTTAAAGTCATTAAATTCACCCTTATTTACAGTAGCTCCTTTTTGTGTATTACCAAAAATTGATGACAAATGACAAATGTATCTTAAAAGTTTGTTGTTGCATTCCAGCTGTTACAAATGAAGTGTAATTTAACTGTAGTATTGTTTTGATCACTGGAGTTGGTCTCAGTTAAAGAGCAGTGTTGACTTGTGGTCAGACTTCATCTTCTTTTCCACACAAATACACAGATGGAGGGTTGTCCGAGGGGGGGTTCACAAAGCAGGATTAGAAAGTTAGACAGATATCTGTGAGTAAATCTAAATCTGGTTATACAGATTTGCATCTGTGAATCAGATCTGGAATATTATTTACATTTGGTGTTAGGCGTCAGTTGTGCAAGATGAGGAACTCTTAAAAGAAAAAACACAATTTTAGAAAAAGTCAGATCGAAGCGTACTACAGTGATGTGGCTAATTTGCTAATCCGGCTTTGTGGAGAGCCCCTCTGCTCTTTAAACGGCTCTGTGGTGGATTTATCTAGAGGCAGATTACATGAGAAGTTTGGAGAAGCACTGAGTTAGGTAGTTTGGATGTTTACAGTCCAAAAAATGTTGACGCGTGTAAAGCATAAATAAAAACAGAATGCAATGATATGAAAATCCTTTTTGACCTATATTTAATTGAATACAGTTGAAGACAATTAATATTCAATCAATCAATCAATCAATCAATTTTATTTATAAAGCCCAATATCACAAATCACAATTTGCCTCACAGGGCTTTACAGCATACGACATCCCTCTGTCCTTATGACCCTCTCAGCAGATAAGGAAAAACTCCCCCAAAAAAAACCTTTAACGGGGAAAAACTATTCAAACTGATAATTTTATTATTTTTCTAACACTCAGTGTTTGGGAAATGACACTAATTGAAGTTTGGAAAGTGAATGCTTTCCTATTCTTACTTAATATACAACCTAAATTGCTCAATGGTTCGGGGTCTCCGTTGTCGTATTTTGTGCTTCATAATGCAGCACACAGTTTCAGTGGGAGTCCAGTACCTGCACTCTTTTACTACGAAGATACGCTGTAGTTACACACGTAGAATCATGGACGTCCCTGAGAAAGACGTTGTCTGGATGGCAGCATATGTTGCTCTAAAACCTATATGTACCTTTCAGAATTAGTGTAACCTTCACCAGTGCGAAAGTTACCCATGATGCCATGGGCACTAACACACCTACATACCATCATAGATGCTGGCTTTGAACTTTGAGTTGCTAACTATCTGGATGGTCCTTTGACGTCCATGATGGACTCGTCAGACCACAGCACACTTTTCCACTCTCACTGTCGGTCTGTCTCAGATGAGCTCGGGCTCAGAGAGGTGGGCGGTGTCTCTGGATGTTGTTGATATGTGGCGTTCACTTTGCATGATAGAGTCTTAACTGTCATTTTGTCATGTTGAGGGAGTGTGCTGGTGTTTCACTGTAGGGATTTAGCAGCAGCATGAAAGCAAACGTGCTCTGTAGCTCCATGTCGTGCAGATAGTGTGTTGTTCGTGGTGTTGAAGAGTTTAGGACCACGTCACCATCTGACAGGTCCAAAGTGACATTTGCAGGTGCATTTACATTCTGTTTGATGTGCTGCAGCTGTGGAGCTAATTAGTTATCTAACCAACAAACTGAAATTAGCAGTGCACTTTTCCCAGGTGAACGTTTGTTTGGTGACTCGTTAAACAAACTAAGGAGCAGGACAAAAGGTGTGTTCATGTTTGTTATTTAGATAAGGACAATACTGGAATAGCTGGAAAGCTAATTAGGGTTGTTCTTGAAAGTGTTTGGCTCTTGTGTTGTGTAGCTTAATGTTGTCACAATATTAGAGTTTCTAGTTTTGATACAATACCTTAAAGAATACAAATATTAAATACTCGATACCACAGGAAGGACTTCGCCTTGAATAATTTCACGGTTGGTCCACTAGGAAAATTCCTAGTTGGGGGCAGCCCTTCTGGTTTGTTTTTATTTTGTTAGCACTGCTTGGTCTAATGACTAGTTTGTTGCACCACTTCACAGATTAACAATGTCCAATGTTATTTGGTCCGACTCTCTGCAGTTTGAAGTCCTCCAGAAACAATGGTTTCGGATCATTCTTTTCTGGTATTTGACGTATAGTGACACAGGCTTTATTGCCAACTACTGGTGGAGACGAGTATTTGGATTTGTTTTTCCTCTTTTAAACAGAGGGAAAAAATAATTGTTTTCAAAAATATCCATGTAGACAGGGCCTGAAATTCGACTTTTAACCATACATGTATGAGAAGTCCTTGAAGTGCTCTGAAAGATGCAAACTTTAACCTTTACATTCCATGACAGCTGTGCAAATCCAGAGCTCCAGAGGAGCGACTGAGTCGACCATGTGGTGAGATTGCTTTTTCATTGTCTTGGTGATGCTTTGAAGGACATTTTGACACCAGACAATCTGTGGTCCTTTGCCAAAAATCATTGTATCCATGAGCCATGAGGTCAGAAAATCAAGGCCAGAGGACAAACAAGCATCTGCTGTGAACAGGATGTGAATTTTTTTTTAGCATGGAAACTGTAACCAGCGTTCAAATCTGACATTGGTTACTCTTGTTCTTGAATGCAGCACCATTCAGGTAATGTCAGTCTTGGATGTTTCAGAACTTACAAACGAACTTAAAAACGATTATTAAGTGGATTGAAATGAATTAAACCAGAGCTGCAACTAACGATTATTGTCGTCATCAGTTAATACTTTTTATCATTTTTTCATCCCAGAGTCCACAGTGATGTCTTCAAAGTCAAACAGCCAATGATGTTCACTTTAAAATGTTTTAAAACAGGAAAAAACAGCAAATCCACACATTGGAGAAGCTGGAACCAGAGGATGATTGGTGTTTTGGTTAGACAGGAGACTTAAACAGGTAATTGGTCACAAAAATCAATCAATCACTGTGGATAATAATGTCCTGAAGGTAAAAATCAATCTAAAAATTGCTGATCATCAGTGATGTAGTGAATGAGCTGGTATTGTGTGTGAGCTGATGTAACTGCAGAGTGTGTGTGTGTCTGCAGTGTCCCTGTCTGTGTTTACTGCTGCATACTTTCCCTTGGTGAGAATTTACAAAGCCTAAATGAGGCTTTTAACGGCCGACCTTTAACCTTTCCTGTGTGATGCTGAGCGGTGATTTCATGGAGAAAAGTGTTTCCTGCTGCTCTTCCGACCTGCACTCATAAATCACAGAGGAGGAAACCGGCCCAGTGGCATTTCCTCTTTCTGCCCCAGCGGCCGGGGTTACTCTCTGCTGCAGAGGGAGGAATCCTGGCAGAGGATTTAACGCAGTGTGACTGATGCAGAAACCACAAAAACCACAAACTAGAGCAGTCCGAGGACGGGACGCTGCTGAGGACAGCAGCTGGGCTCTGTTTCCTGTCCTGCAGAAGTGAAGGTTAAACAGTGCTGAGAAGTGACAGATATGAAATGAAACAATCACTGGAAGGTCAGAGAGCTCATGTTCAGCCTTTATTTAATGGTGTTCATGTTGCCTTAACACTTAAGGACTTTTGGCCCTTTTAAATACACAGGCCCCCAGTTTTAGGGCGACACACCACGGCAGTGATTGTAAACATACAGACAGGCAAACTTTCCTTTTTTTCATGAGTGTGTGTCCCTTTGTATTATTCTGTGTCCCTTCTCTGAACTCTGATGTTTTTGTGGGTCCGTGAATGCAGCACAGGCTGATAAGATCAGATCGATAGATGACAGGAGCAGCTGTCAGTGAGTGAAAGCAAAGTTTCGCCTTTACTGTGTATGGCGTTCTGCTGCTCCGTTTGTGCCCAGAGCACGCTCTGCACTCCTGGTGCAGTGGATAACCAAATGGTATATATTCCATTAGCACTCCTAATGAACAGTCCAGCCCCCAAAAAGCCCAAACCAAATCAAAAATAGAAAATCAATAGGTGGTAACAGATGTTATCATGGCGGGTTCAAGAACACAGCTCAGGTAGAACTCATCTTTTTTCCCTCAGCAGCAGTTTGTGTGGTTTTGAGTCATGGGGTGGATAACTCATCAGTTGATTTAATCAACAGCAGCTGTTTTTGAGTGAAATCAAACTTTAGACCCAGCGCACTGAGGGTTAAGTTTCACTTTCACTGCACTTGCCGTTCTGCTGCACCGTTTGAACCGTAATGAACGGTCCAGCTCCAAAAATAGAAAATCAGAATGTGGCAGCATTTCTTTAATTCTGGCAGCCCGCCACAAAGACACGAATGTGTGGGAAACCCTGCATATTTATCCTCCACTGGTGTTGTTGTTCAGCGTCTGCTCATGTCATGATCTGACAGCTGGCCTTTGTGGAAGGCTATTTGTCCCCCCCCCCCCCCCCCCCCCCCCCCCCCCCCCCCCTCACTGTGATTGGACGACAGGTTAAAAAGTGACAGGGACAAGTGGAGTGTTTTACCCAAGAGTCGTGGCAGAGCTGTCACTGCAATTGCACCTGTCGCCATGGTCCACGTTTTGCTGCTGTTAGTTTGCGTTGGTTGGTGTTCTCATTCTTCGTTTGGCATTTGACAGCAGACAAGAACACTTGTAGGTGTATGTGCTGCCCAGTCAGACCAACTACATCCTCAGTACTTTCAGCACTCAAGAAAATCAAGTACCGTCACATTTTTCAGAATTTTGGCATCGACTTGGTGCCAAAGTATTGGTTTGCTTGACATTCCTAACTCAGAAAGCACAAGTTTGTGTTTCATGTCATACGTCAAGTGTTTTCACTTGTTTTGAATGTCTACAGTGGGAGACAGGAGTGAGATGTGATGAATTGACAAACACATTATGGGTGTTATAGCTCACACTTTTAAATAGTCTTTCCTCAGATAAATTCAGGGTTTTGTATTTCATTTGTGCACATAAATAAATACAAAAAGGAGGCCCTAACCCATAAACTGGCTGCTTTCACTTCAACAAACCAGTTACTTTTAGAAAGAAAAATGGTGTCTTGCAGTCCCGTAATGCCAGTGTCAGAAAAGTGTTGGGGGAGCTGATTGAGACATGATTTAACTATCCGGGAAGCTCTTCAGTTGCTGCACACTGAGGCCTGAAAAGTCAAGATAATGTGTAACGAAATTTTTCCGTTTTATTCAGCACATTTGAGAATCCATTGTTAAGATATTTGCATGTGTAACTCATAATCTGATTGTAAAAGGTCTCAGTGTCGCCTCAGTGACCTGCTCTTTGTTTCTCACCTGGTGCAGCAGGTGTTTGTGCTCCATGTGGTCGTTATCGCTGTTTAAATGTTTTGCATCATGGAGATTTCCACTTCCACGTTGGCTGCTCTGTTCCTGCTTTGTGACACGTGTGCAGCAACTGAGCAGTTTCACACACTGCAGATTTTAAGTGTATTTAGTTTATGAAATATAAATATATAGAATATCAAATGTTTTTATTTTGCTACACACAATACTCACGGCCCTGTCCTTTGTCCTCTCTGTGTTCAGACTCTGTGTTCGGCGGTGGTCCAGGTGTACGGCGCAGACCGGAACTGCTGCTGGGTGAAGAGGTGCTGTGGAGTGGCCTGTTTGGTCAAAGACAACCCGCAGAGGTCCTACTTCATCAGAGTGTTTGACATCAAGGTGAGTGAGACCATCCTGTCAAGGTAACATCTGTGAAGCTTCAACCCAAGAGGACGGTTGAATGAAGCGTCTCAAAGGATTTGTTCGAGCGTTAGATGTATCTCATTTCTCATTTCATCTGTACAAGAATTGTGCACTGGAAATCAACATTTAAATTTTAATTGTCTGTCTTTGGTGAAAACAGCAGATTTGTCTGTTAAATCTGTTCACATTTGTCTCTTAGCTCTCCCCTTTGTTTTTTACACTGCCTCTGCAGTTTGTGGACTGTGGCCAGGTTGTGTTTATACACTCTCAATAATCATTGGATAAATTAATACGGTGCTTTAAAGATGATGTGGAATCAATGGTGCAACCCTAATGGATCAAAGTGAATTACCAGACGCTGATGTGTGTTTACTGTCTGACTCGTTCAGGCTCCAAAATCAATCTGGATATTAAAGAGTCGGTGCATAAAATATACTGTTGGTTTAACTTTATCTCTGTTAAAAACAAACCTGCAGAGACTTAAGACTAGTAAAAAAAGTAAAAAATGATTGATTAAAAAATGCAAATCCTAAAGTTTTGTTTGCAAATCCTAAAGATTTGTTTGCGAGTCTTTTTTTTTTGTTTGCTAGTGAAAAAGTTTTGAGAGTAAAAAGTTGAACCTGGTGGGCGGGGCCTAAACTGGAAGCTGTAAGACACGTCTCTATTGGCCAGTCTCAATTGGAATGACAGCTTGCAAAGCATTTTTTTTTCTTCTTCTCTCGGTTGGCGGATTGCAAACAATTTAAAGGTGCATACCGCCACTTACTGTACAAGAGTGTGCAACATCATGTCATTTAGCCTGTTTCTTAAATTCTACTCATCAGCCTAGTACGCTTGCAAAGCAACATGGGAGTTCTGTAGTACACGGGGAATTCAGTGCGGGAGCTGTGGCGAAAATCAATTCTGAAACCGAAGTTTTTCACGCTCCGGTTTCCAAAAAAAATTCATCCACACGAGTGGTGTGATTTAAAAAAAAAAAAAAATACGATATCCACACGAAACTGCAAAACCTGCTACCAAGTGATGTAATACACATGCCAAAGCAGTAGGTGGCGATGTAACTTCTAACGGAAAGGCCGTATCCAGAACCTCCGTTGGCAGGACTGTCGCTGCTTTCGTGGTAGTGTAGTTGGGGTAGCTAGCAACAGGAGCAGCCTCCTTGGTTGGTCGTTAGGTTGAGCAGCTGGATATGCCATCCAAAGAGAGCAGATAGCACACTCACAAATAAAGTTTGTGTGACATATAGGGTATTTATGTGTATCTGCCCACTCAATTGTGACATTATTTTATGCATATGATATTGATTTTGTATCTTTACAGATACCATACAGATATCCCCCATTCAATTTAAAGCAGAACTGATTTGAGTAAAGGCACAAGAGCAAATCTGGGTATATAAACGGTTGGTTCTTCAGTTGGCAGTTACACCCAGAGTAAAGCTACTGAAGACCAGCAAAATCACCGTCTGTTTTCATTTATTCTTTCATGTGGGTAAATGTCACCTCAGCACCTTCAGATTTTATCAGTAGTGTACCCTTAATAGATGTTATTGTGCTTCGTGATATTGTTTGAGGGAACTGTAACATAAGGTAACTGCATACGAGTGGATGCAACCGTCACTAATGCTAGTGTAGTTCCTCAGGGATTTAAGCTGTACTTACTTTTATTTTACAATCTAACCTGTGACAACACATTAGCTCAGGTTGTAAGGACTGTAACTGTTGGTAGCTACTGTTGATTTTGTTTAAATATGTTGAATTGTAATTTTATGGCTTATTGTTTGTCGGACGATTGAGCTAAGCTAACTGATGTTAACGTCAGCGGTCTCTTGTTGCCATAGCAACGGTAAACATTCACATACGGGCTAAGTGCAGAGTGCAGACTCAAGCTTCATTGTAAATATAGTTAAGATTCATTGTATTTAACACATAATGTGGGATTTTAGTAGTTAGTAAACTTTTAGAAAAGAGCTATTTACCGTCGTTCTGACGTCAAACAATAAAGACAGGTAATAAAATACTGTGGTTATCCTATCTACACGCAACCGCTGGCACCGGAGTCTTCCAAAAACTTCACCCTGGACTCCGGTTTCAAAGAAACGCGGTTTCAGGGGCCCAAAAGTGCAGTTGCGTGTGGCCAAACAGCCAAATCACATAGAATAATACACGGTTTCAAAAGTACACAGGTCCGTATGAACTAGGCCTAATAATAGCAAGAATGTTTTATTTGAACTGGTGCATGTAGATTGCTTTTGTTTAGCCAGCTCAGAACTATTTGACAGTGTAATGGTCAGTACCTTCGATGCCCCGGGGTGTAGCAGTAATGCCGACTGTCGGGCGTTTCCAGTGGGAGAGAGGGAATCATGGGTGGAGCCATGTCAAACCCACCAATAGAAACTCTTCTCTCATCCATCAGCGTAGGCCCCACCCGTTAAGTGCAGTTGAACTTGCAAGCAAAACTTAAACTCGCAAGCAAAGAAGACTGATCTGCAAGCAAAAGTTTTTAACTTGCAATCAAAGAGGACTGATTTATAAGCAAAATGATCCCACGTTTTTACTTACAAACTTGATTTTTGATTTTATGTTTTGTTGTTGTCTGTCTGCCTCATTCTTGTGAACGCAGTTCTTTGAGGGAATTTCTTCAATTGTAGCACAAACATCCGCTTGGACTCACTGATGAACTGATGAGATTTTGGTTGTCAAAACTCAGTGTGACCCCACAAAACACAACTTAAGAATTCATAGGATAATTATGACACAATTTCACTCAAATGCCCAGTGGGCTATAATAACTAAGTGGTTACATTTTAGATCCAAAAGGTCAAAGGTCAACTTCATTGTAACATCATAATGTTCTGCTTAAACACTTTTCTGGCCATTATTCAACGTCATAACTATTTTTGGAGCTGGAACAGAAGGGGAGACATATGGTTGGATGCTGGTGACTCTAATCTTGGCTGTCTACCTTGAAACCGTGCTGATTGTATAGATCCTCTGTGCTGCTGGGTTTAAGACGTGTGTGAAGCATCCATGTTTTAGAATTTGTAGCTTTGCAGCAACATCCATATTTGAACAATTGTCTTCTGTTGTGGCTACATATGAGTCTGGACAGACATGCGCGTAAACTGTAACTGCAACTTGACTGGTTCGCAAAGGCATACAATTAAGAGGTGGGAATCTAGTTTGAAAATTGAAGCATGTGAACATTTTGTATTAGAGAGCATTAACACAAGTATGGGCCTGAAAATCCGCATACTAAGTCCCTTTTTTGATGATGTGGTTGAGTTTCTTTTTTCCTGCATTAAAAAACAGCTGACTCACAAACCTCGGATGTCAGAACATTGATTTTCAGAGAAATGAACTGAGAGCAGTTGAGACTGTGGAGGGAAGGAAATCAATCTTTAAATGAAGAGTACGACTTCAATGTGCGGTTAATTTGTATGCAGTGGATGAAAATCTGCTGATTCACACATGTGGTCCCTCTAAACTCTCATATTTCTCCCTCTTTGTCTTGTGTTTTTGCAGGAAGGGAAAACCATGTTTGAGCAGGAACTGTACCACAACTTCTCCATCAGCAGCGCCAGGTCCTACTTCATCTCATTCACAGGAGACGTAAGTGTGCAGCTCTTTGTGATTACCTCAGGACCACAGCCTGGTCTCACTGATCAGGTTTCACTCTGTTTAATAAGGTGTGATAATCTCTGAATGTGTTTACGCTCAGTCACGTATTCACATCAGGGTCTGCTCGCTCGAAGGTAATGTGGAGCAGCCATAGGCCTTCAGGAAGTGTCTGCTTTTTAACATGTCGCTGCTGTTTCTGAGCTGAGGGCTTCTGGAAGTTGAGAAGGGATCAGGTTTTATAAAGGAAAAGAGCAGAAATACAACAAGGTAGCTGAACTAAGCTGAGTGTGGGTTGGAAACAAAAATGCACTTCTTATTTCTCTTTACATAGATCACTGCTGCAGCATTTTATCTGCAAAACATTTTTATTTATCCTTTATTCAGCCAGAACAAGATCTCTTCTTCAAGGAGTCCTGGCCGAAATACATTTTAGATGTGACCATGTGCATAATCAGATTTTTATAGACGTTTTTTGCCTAAATCTCAGATAAATGTTTTGTAATCAGTAAATCAATAGTAGAAATGTAATGCTATTGGAAGTACTGGATTACATGACTGACTGTGCTCATCTTAAAGTGATAGTTTGGATCTTTAGAAGTGGGATTGTATGAGGTAAGTCATAGTCAATGTATCATACACTGTACATTGCGATCAACACGCCCCCAGTTTGGAGAAACAGGCAGGAGTAGTACTTGGACGCTAGACATTATGCTGCTGTGGACAGAGGCAGCAGCAACACATATTTTAGCCATCTAAAAAAATCCATAACTGTTAAATTGTATGGGAATGGATTTACCACTTTACCTTGCCACAGTCAGCCCATTTAGTTGGGGAAGTCGTTACGGGCGTCAGTTCCCCATCTTTGCTTTCGTCAAAGCCACTAGACTCCTTTGACAAAATCAGTAATTTTAGCATGCTGAACTCTGTGGCTGTTGGTCTTCGGCTGCCTCAATCAGTCATGATGTTTGTGTTATTGTGTGACTTTGGTGAATTCAAACTAATTGTTTTATACGCCAGAGTCACACAATAAGATAAACAAATCCACTGATGGAGGCAGCAGTAGACCAACAGCTCCTTTGTTCAGCGACGTTAAATCACTGGTTTTCTCAATGGATTCTGGCTTTAACTAAAAATGGTTTGGTCTTATATTCTGTCTGTGTGACACATGGTGACTTCAGCTGTGGAGTGTTATGAAGGAGCAGACGGATGGACACAACCGTTGCTTTTATAAAGATAATAAAATGATTCATCTAAAATCATAAACATAAGCCACTGCACACTGAACAGAATTACTGTGATTTTATTAAGAGCCAACAACACGTTTTGCCCCATGGTTCACTCAACAGAATCACATGAGCACTCACAGGTGTGTTCATACACATGGGTCACATGACTTATTCTCAGTTATTTCACTTTTCTTTTTCAGTATTTTTTCTCTCATATTCAAAAACATTTTCCAAAAGATAAATGTTCCAAAAGTAATATGTAATTTAATCTCATCCCATTATGTAGATGACTGAGACTAAGAAACCCGGTGTCTGAACAGCAGCGTCTGTGTCTACTTTTTCTAACTGAAAAAAAGTTTGGCTTTTTCCTGACATACTTCTTTGACAATTTGCGACAAAGGAGGGGCATCCAAACTTTTCATGTCAGGGGCCACATAGAGATGAATGCATATAGTTCTGGGCCATTAGCCTTGTGTCATCACTTTCCATTTCAATAAGCTTCAAATGCTCGTCCTGCTGTACTCCTTCCATATCATCAGAGAAACTGTCCATGAACAAGATAATGTCTCTTCGGGCAGTGAGATCTTGACAGTGCTGGTTAGATTCTATTATTAGTCACATATTTCCCCTGTTTCCACATAAATGTTGGTGTTGGGAAACCAGAGATCGTTTTTCCCCAGAGCTGGGAAGTGCTGTCACTGGTTAGCCTTTAAAAAAGTCCAAGCTCTGCAACAAATGATTTTATGTGTGTAAGCATTTGCACTACAAAGTCCTGCCTTTATGCTGCCTTTGCATTTTTACACAGAACCAAAGGATGGCGGCATCACACTGCTCCAGTGTGTGATTTTAGACAGCAAGCTGACATAATGGAATCAAAGGAGGCGTGACGGGTGTGACATGTCACACATTGGCACTGGCCGCTAGTGTGACATATAACATACATGTCAGCAGCACCTTAGAAACAATAGCAATCACATAGCATGCCAGTAAGAATCACTTACCGTCCCTGTTATATGGCGGCTGATTTCGTCCTTTGTTCGGAGGGTAAGGAGCTCGCAGACTTCATTGTTTTCACTGTTTGTGGATATTTTCGGAGGCTGTTCTTCCTCTTTGAGTTAGCCGCTAACTGCTATCAGCTACTTTTTTAAAGCTGCAGCGGTGGGTTGCACACATGTTGTCAAAACGTCACACCCATGCTGCCCATGGTCCCATCCTGTGGCTGTTTATGCAGACACTGTTTTGGCACTGTAGGCGAGACCATTCTGCCGCTTCAACTGTACAATGTTCCCGCCCTGAACAGGCAGTGTAAACAGGGCTTGTTAAAGAGCTACCCTATGAGGAATCTCGTGTTAATTTTGGCCTCATCGCCAGTTCACAGTTTGTGGTTTTGTTCGTTTTCGTTTGCAGTGCTGCCTGGATTTGAGTTACTTCGTGTTCTCTGTCAATTTAAGGTTGTCAAAGGAGTCAAAGAGATCGTGGCACATCTTGTCCCTCAAATATAATTCTGATGTCCGGTGAGGTGGACTGCCCCAGGTATAAAACATTGCAGGATGCCCTGAGCTGTAGATGTCTGTACTTTGCTGACAGATTCTTCAGAGGATGCACTTCCAATAAATCCAGAATGTTTATTAAACATGAGGAGACCAGAAATGAATAGGTGTATTCTTGTTGCACCTTTAAGTGAATCACCAGCATGAGTAAATCCAGACATTTTACCTGAGGATAATTTTGGATATAACCTGTTATCAGTGTTTTTATTTTACACATTTTCTAAATTTAAATTCAGGTTTAGAAGTTAACGCTTCAATTCTGATCCACACATTCTTATTCAAGGTGTTCAGACTTAATGCTCTGTAATCTCTGCTGTTCAACACTTTTTATTTAAAGATAGATGCCATTTTAATCATGTGTGGCTCTTCCTCTTCTTCCTCTCAGACCTGTCAGATCGGTCTGAACTTTGCCAGCGAAGAAGAGGCCAAAAGATTCAGAGCCGCAATCAACGACCTGCTCAACCGACGACAGCGCAAAACAGGTACGTTTCTACTGTTTCAGCTTGTCCTCTTTCCTCGCTTCCTCAACCTGTGTGTGTGACGTTTCACCTTTCACACCTGGACTAAGGCTCCAGAACACTTAACCACCTCTTCTGCTAACAAGACCTCAACCTCAGTCCCAAACCTGTGTGCCTCACTCATGTCCAGCTGCATCAGGGACATGTGCAGGGCTGATAAAATCAAATCAACCAAGGAAGTAGACTCACGGAGGAACAGTTCCTGGAGTTAATTTGTGTGTCTGCATCTCAAGAGCAAGCATGGAGGATTCAGGGTGTTGCTGCTTTACTGCTGCTATGAGAACTGAATGGATTTTTGAAATAGCTCATAAAGGTAGAAAGGGGGATTTTGAAGAAACCCAAGAATCCCACACACTGTCTGACTTTTGATCTTAAATTTAACAGACCTTTGGAGTAGTTGTTCCTTGTGGTCCAGCAGAGGTTGTTTTAAAACTTCCTGTCAGCTTGACTTATTGCATGCCCTGTTGACCTGTCAATAAACTAAGATAACAAAGCTAAACATCGAAGCATCTGAGAAGTAGAGTGTGAAAGTATTTTAGGTCTTACACCGTAGATGGCAAAATTACCATCAAAGATTACAACAACCAGCCCTGCAACATACGACTTTTCAAGCGATTTCACTGTCGCAGAGAAATTTCCAAAGGCAGAATAAAATCATAAAAGTTGTACCTCCACTGGTGCTACTGTGGTCTCAATTGTTTAGTGTGAGGTGGTCAAAAAACTGAGCTGGAAACTGGTGGAGCTGTGGCGTGAACTAGAGTGTTTAATTTGTATCTGATCCACCAACCAGCACTTACTTTAGTGAGAAGTCTTAATTCTCCCACTAAAACAGCACACCTGACCATCAGAGGCTGGTAGCAAGTTGAAGCCGACAACATATAAAGTTTATATGCAGATGCAGTTTATCTTTATGAATCATATTGATGCTGAATTAACAGGAATACCTTTTATTTGTGTGTCAGGAGTTATGTGTTTTTGCGGACACGTAAGGAATTTTTAATACGTCATATGGTTTAAAGGGAGTTTGTCATATTATTTTCCACCAGGAGCAGGATGGGAGATAATCAAATAAGGAATTTAATCGTAGTCTTAAAAATAGTGACCCTGTAAGATCCCCAGTCTTTGCAAACGTAATGTAGTGTTTGACTAAAAACTCAGAATGTCTTTAGATGTGAGAGGACGACAGACTTCAGTCTCCTCAGAGTCTTTGCAGTGTATTGAAGCAGCTGCTTTACTCTACATCCACAACAAATCTGAGGGCTCAGCTGCCAGTGAGACAGCAGAGGCACCAGAAGTGAGAGGAGCAACCTTGTCTGACTACTTTTCACCACAGTCATCCCAGAATCTTGGAAAATGGTCATCAATGATATGATAGCAAGATTTATATGCAAGTATATTCGGTACATTGCTGTTGCTACAGGAGAAGGTTGTGAGGATAATGACGGCAAAATCTACAATAGCTACAATATTAAACTCCAATTTTAAGACAGATAGTGCAGCTGTATGACACCACAAGGGAGAACATATAGGCAATGCTGAAGGGTAAGACTCTGCCTCACCGCCGATTGATGGATGCCGCTGTATGTGAGGTCATACGTTGTGGTATATGGGTTGCATTCAAATTAATTCCAACTAACTACACGTTAGTTCGAACTTGACTCAATGTCTGTTGTGTGTGAAGCGCTAAATCGAAGTACCCAAAATGAAATCTGTAAAAATGTTTTCCCAGATGAGGACACGAGTGAAGGTTTGGGACAGTTTGCTTCTTTCCTCTGCTGCTGTGAGCTCATTGTGTTTCTCGCTGCTGTAGTAAAACTGTCGGTGTGTCTCTGTGTCGTAAACATCTCTGCGTCAAGGGTCCTCTTGGCTCCCCTCCAGCTCCTCTCAGCACGCCGGCTTTTTGAAGTGCACCACTCAAACTGTGATGATGACTGAGGGTCCAAAGGCTCACAGAGCTGTGACACAGAAGGTTTTTTTTAGAGGGCGGAGTTTTTTATCAAACACATCTGAGCTCTCAAAGCTTTTGCTTGTCTCCTTTTGCTCATGTCGAAGACTTCCTGAACTGTCTTTCTGACTGTTTTGCCCACGGCGTTGAAGACGTGAGGCAGCATGTTTTCTCTGACAGCTTTGACACCTGCGGGCTTTAAAACTGTCGTCTTCCCTCCGGCCGCAACTAACTGAACTTCAGCACGCTTCCTGACTCTTGAACAGCTCACCCTCTTCTCTCGCCTCTTAAAAACTAAATATCTTCCATTTTATGTGTTGATTTTGTACTGAAACTATAATTGTGTTAATTTTTCTTTTGCAGAGAAGAGAGGTGACCCTAAAAATGGTACGTTGAACTCCTAATATTGATAATGCAGATTCTACTTCTACTGTTGTGGCCCTTCAGCGGCAAAAAAACATCTTCTGGTGACTTTGATCTGGGGTCAGTTTGGAAGCTCATTGTGTTGTATGTGGTGTTCAGGGACTGAAACAGACATGTGGCTGAAACATAGTCCAGATTAGAAAACCCTGGAGTAGGGTTTATTAATAAAGAAGCAAGAAGCTGATTGAAAACAGTGTTCATGCTCGTTGCACGTCTCCGACAGAAATAGATGTTGTTGCGTGACTGGATGACAAATGCCAGCGGACTTAAGTGTTGGAGAGTTGTGGCGTTTCCTGACACGTTGGCGGCATTGTTTCACAGACAACGTGACTCACACACTGACACAGAGTGGAGTCTGCCGCAGGTTAATCTGGTCAGCAGGAAGCCCATCTGTGCCATATGTAGACCACATGGTCTGTGTTGTCGTCCCCTTTAAACCCTGTTGAGATGCACACGAGGCCTAATCTGTAATCCCCACAGTTACTGCTGCTGAACATTTGTTTTGTTCATTTAATTGATCCTTGATTCATGTTTTTTTATTAGAATTAATTTCACATTTCAGCATTAATATTTACAAAATATCAGTTCAGTTCAAAGTGCTTTACATAATACATCAAAAGAATCAATACAAAGTGCAAAAGAAACACATTATAAACAGATATTTAAATGCATTGATAAACAGATAAAAGGTCTCCAGCATGTGCTGTGCAGTGGGAACATGGATATATCAACAGAGCTGGATATGACACCACCACTCACCATCGCTGCCAAATTACTCTAGTGGCCAATCACGTTACTGCAACAACATTTTACCCCATAGACCTCCACAACCTCAAACTAGGGTTTGATCTGTGTGAAAAAACAATTTGATATTGAGCCAAATACTGGACCGGACTGGTATACCAAATGTTACCATGTTATCCACTCAACTCAGCAGCTGCTCCAGAGTGGAACATAATGACACTGTGTCCCAACAGAAAAGTAGTGCCTGACAATCGTGTAGTGTCACGTAACATCGGAGCTCTCTGTTCATATTGAACACATTAAAAGTCACCTTCTGTTACGTCATGCAAACGAACCACATAGATTTCTGCTGTGCGCTCAAGATCAGGCTGGAGATGTAACCACCTAAAAGATGGGTGAATAGCAGACTTTCTATCTTCCTACATTTGTGACATTACTTTTTTAAACAGAAAACGTGTTTTATATTGTAACATTGACTGGAGATTACATATAATATAGCCAGCAACACAGTTTGTGACCAAAGTTCAGCTGAAAACAGCACCTGCAGCCTGTTAGGACGCCTCTTAGATCAGCTTTAAATACAAAATGATGTCATATTGGTGCAGTTTTAGTTTTCTTGACAGGCTAACTTTGTCATGTCTCCTCTCGTGATCCCAAAAAACATAGATTGAGTAAACAAACATAGTGTGAGCCACTCATCCCCCTTACCACCTATACTGACATTTGATCTCCTTCAAGGTACCGACACCAGCCTGGAATTGGCTGAAAATGTTCTCCTTCAGTAGTCTATGGGGAAAAAGTCATTTTGGGCCACATAGCATCAAGTGAAGGATGTAAATCCATTGTTTGGCCACGAAGAAAATTGGCTTCAAAGCCCTACGCACTTCCTGGGGCCCTGCTCCAGAGGCAGTTTCTAAAAAGCCCACCAGCTTCGGTATCTTTTTGGCACCATCTTGTGGACAGAAGGCCAGAACTAAGAGCAAAAAGATGTGTTCAAGATTTAGTCGGCTTAACCCATTGAACCCTGAGCAAATTGATTTGTTTTCTTTTTAAAACATGGGAAGAAGGCAGTGAGCAACTTAAAAAGAAGAAGAAGAAGAAGAAGAAGAAGAATTAGCAAGAAATTAGTTAGAAAAAAAAGTTAAAAACAAACAAACAAGAAAAGACCTGCAAAGAGTTCTTAAAATGTAATAAAAATATATTTTTATAATTATAATAACAAGAGTAATAATATTAATAGTTTTCACTAGCTTTTTAAAAAATAATTTTCTAAACCTATATTTTATTTTATTTATTTATTTATTATTATTTTTTTTTAAATTTAATTTTATTTTATTTTTATTTTTTATTTTTTTGCAATTTTAGGGACATTCCTCACCAAGTTGCTCACTGCCTTTTTTCCCATGTTTCTGAAAGAAATGTCACCAGTGTGCTCAGGGTTCAAATGTTTGAATAACTTGCAACAGGTGTCTGAAAGCAGCACCAAAAAAAGTGATGGCACTCCAGGTTTCAAAGGCTTAATGTGGCCTAAGGTAAAGTACCTGAGATGGTAATTTGCCATATGTCAAAATTTCTGGGATGTTATGGCGTCTGATGCATTGTGGTTTTGAGAGGTAGAAGTAGACATGGTAATTTGACAGGTTCTGGGGGTAAAAATGTCTGAGCAGCACACGTCTCCCTCCACAACCCTGCAAAACACAAACATTATTTTACAGCCTTTGTTTATGATGTTGTTCAGGTGCAGACAAACAAAGTTGTGAGTAACGGTCCCAGTGCATCACAGCTTTAATTTAGCTCTCCTCCTCTGCAGCTGTGTCTGCGTGTCATCCCAACAGACTGTTTACTTTCATTAAGCCGTGTGACTGTTGGCAAACATTGACGCCGCAAAGAGCAGGATTAACATACACTGAACAAATCAGTCGTGTCTTCAGTCAGCTCCGTGGATTTGTGCCTGAGATCGTTGTTTCATTGAAGTTTGTCTCTGGTGGTGCAGATTCATTCTGACATTTCAGTTGTGAAACATGAGACTAACAGAGGGACGTTGTTGCTCTGGATTGGACTCTCTGTTTGGGAGATGTATGTTTGTTCTTGTCCTCATTGTGAGAACCTCAATAAAAAACGCTTTTGTTGTGAGGAATCTGCTCGTGTTGGTACTTCAGGGATAACCCACAGTGTTTGGGAATGTTGATGGCTCGGTTCTGACTCTCTTGTTACCTGATGTGAACTCTTATATCCAGCTCAAGCTCTTTTACATATGCTGTTCATTGACAGACTGAATGCAGTGGGCTTGAATGGAAGTGTTGTCGGTCACGTCTGTTTTGGAAAAGAACCCAGAGTCTTGGCAGCCAGTCTGGCAGCTTTGCTTATTGAGAGTGCGCCCGACCTTTGTCAGTCGAGTCTGGCAAGTTCAGATCCGAGTTTGAATGTTCTTGATCCGAGTGTTCTTGGCAGGAATGCACGTTTTTCTTGGCAAACTGATCAGGAGACCAACTAAACAACTAAAATGCACAGGGTCTGTCTGTTTGCATGTATGTCTGTCCTTCCAATTTCTTGACAACTGTTTTTACAATCGACCTGGTGGGCGTACTGCTGAGGACCCGAGGAAGTGCAGTGTACAGTGCAAGCTATGAGATCTCCAGAACAAATTTATTAGTAGTGTGTTATGTACACACTGTAGTGTATAGAAAGGGGACCCCTATAAACTATTAACAGCATGCTGGGTACAGCTCGCTCTCCGTCGCTTGCCACAGTACATTCAAGGATGGATGGATAATACCTTTTCTAATTTGATGTGATGTGAACAAGCAAGCAAGCAAGCGAGCGAGCGAACATCAGATTGTTTCAGTGTTTTCCAGTCAGGATATCCTAACCTGCTCCAGGCTTCAGCAAGCTAAGCGACATGTAGCTTATTTAAAATGCTCGCCCTGGCTCTGTTTTCAACACCTCCAACCTATTTTCAGATCAGATCATCAGCAAGATGTCGCGTAGGCTTGTTCAGGGCTTCTTAAATGTTGTTGTCTCTTGTAGTATATCTGGACACTTTTCACCGTCCATCTGCCAGAGTTCACTTACTGTATGTTAGGAAGAGGTGGTCAGTAAGGCCAGAGATGTTACATCTAAAGCGTCAACAATGTAACTTTCAGAACAGGAACTTTTGTTCCTGGAAAAAGCCTCGTCTCAAATAGTTGGCAGTTAGCAAATGATGCGTATACACTAGCATTACTCTGGGACACAACTGTTTCATGGCAGGCGTATTTCTCAGGAACCATGGAAGAGCATTGTCGAGTGTGAAGTTGTATGAATGAGCGGGTTTTGAGAAGGCTACAAGCAGAAACACCAGAGGCCAAAGAACGGGCCTGTTTCAAGCAGGCACGTTTTGCACTGGTGAAATATAATTTTCTGATATGATAGAAGAATGATCTTTGATGCCTTACTTTGAGAAATATAAACATGTTTTTCTACAAAACCATTTTTATGCGCTTGCACCGGAAATAGCCATTGCCAGAGGCAGTATGTTTTTGGGTTGTCTGTACGTGCGTCTGTCCCATCCTTGTGAACACGACATCTCAAGGACGCACAGAGGAAATTTCTTTAAATTTGGCACAAATGTCCACATGGACTCAAGGATGAACTGATAAGATTTTTGTGGTCAAGAGTCAAAGGTCATGGTCGCTGTGACCTTTAATCGATCCCATTCTCGAATGCGATATCTCAAGAATGGCTTGGAGGAATTTTTTCAAATTTGGCAAAAACACCCACTTGTACTCAACAATAAACGGATTGGATTTTGATGGCCAAAGGTCAAGGTGATGGTGACCTCACAAAATATATTTTTGACTATAACTCGAGAATTCATATGCTAATTATGACAAAACTTCCAAACACATATCTGATAGGATAAAATGTGAAGTGATGACATTTTATATCCAGAAGGTCAAAGGTCAGCTTCACTGTGACATCATAATGATCTGCATAAAACCCTTTTCTGGCCATTCGCCAACGTCATATCTCAGGAACAGAAGGGGAGACATTCGGTCAGACACCTATCTTGGGTGTCCACCTTGAGACTGCGTTGATTGTATAGATTGTGTGTGAAGCATCCATGTTTTGACAGACATTGAAAATTTCAAAGTGAAAGAGAAACTTGACTGGTGTGTGGACTGTGGAGGTATACAAACACTGGGTGGTAATTCTAGTTTTATTGAACAAAAGCAGCCAAAGGTCTGGGATGTTAAATGTTGTCCATAAATTGTATGGCTGCTTGTGGGTTTTTTGGGGTTATTTTTGTCTAAAAAAAAAAAAAAGTATGATTTTTGAAAGTGTCCATAGATAGGTATCAAAACTTTGTCCCAAATGATTCTGCATTAGTTTTAGTACAGAAGATTTTCAGTCTGTACTAGGGCTGCAACGATTAGTCGACTAATCGATGACTAATCGACTATTAAAATAATCGGTGACTATTTTAGTAGGCAACTAATCGGTTTGAGTCATTTTCCATAAAAAAGTGCTATAAAAGTGCCCCAAAATACTCTTATTGCAGCTTCTTACATTCAGATATTGGCAGCTTTACACACTCGCCCATGACGGTGAACTAAAACCCTTTCGCGTGAGTATGAAACTAGACATTAGATGACATAATTTTGGGGTTTGGGAGAGACAGACCGGCATTTTTCAACATGTTAACACATTTTTCGATAAAATGATTTGTCAACTAATCGAAGAAATAATTGACAGATTAGTCGACAACGAAAATAATCGTTAGTTGCAGCCCTAGTCTGTACCATAAAAGTACTCAACTCTGATGCCCAGGCCGACACAGAACCATCCAGTGTAGCTCTGGCTGGGGAAACGCCCACCGTGTCTGTCCTGGTTCTCTGTAGACGGCAGATTTGAGGCGAGCCTGTTGGTCCTTGTGGTCATAGACATCCAGCATTCATGGGGAGTCCAGGGATTTGGACTGGGATTAGCAGTGGATTAGTGGTTTATGTCAAATGCTGCTGTGGTTTGTGGAGATTACGAGGAATTTGGAGCGGTTCGGACCATCGGGAGAGGCTCAGCTGCTGCATTTTTTTTATTAGAAAAGATGGATCATGAAAGCTCAGTGACAGAGTTTACAGCAGCCATATTGATCCCTCAGGTACCTGGATTACTAAGGGAATATTGATGACAGTGTGTGAGGGTCAGGAGGGGGCAGCTACATACCACAGAATAAACCAGTTTATCAGCCTGAAGTCCTGCCGGCATGCCCTGTAGGATGCAGCCTTCATTACAGCGATCAGGGTATCTGCGGGTCTTGATGGTGAATTCGCATGCTCCTCAGATGATCGAGTTTCCTGAGTTGGGTGTCGTTCTTCCAACGTCACTGTGTTCACAAGCTTGTAATGTAGAAATAACATGGATGCCACAAAAACGACAACTGTGTTGTAATCGACTGCTCAGAGCATTTAAACAGGAGCAGAACATTTCTTAGCAGTCTGCTTATCACTTTTTAATCCTTGTGATGTACCAATGGTATAATTCTTCTGTTTCAAATGGACCACAGCTCCTGAAGTTTTCATCCTGACCTCCCTCTCCCTTCCCCCATGTGTGCAGGTCCAGCTCTGCACATGGCCACAGTGGACATCAAGAACCCGGAGATCAACAATGTCCGATTCCACAACTCCCACAGCCACCAGCAGCCGTACCACCTCAACAACATGCTGAGCCACAGCGGGCTCAACAGGAAGGACAAGAAGACCAAAGGCAAGAAGAAGAAGCTGACCAAGGCCGACATCGGCACGCCCAGCAACTTCCAGTGAGTCACACTTGTCTTTAAATGTTTTGTTTTGTCTGAATAAAACTCCAAAAACCAAAGATATTATACGGACAAACACTGGCTCTTTTTGTTTAAAAAATGACCCAAGCAATGAATCCGTCATAAAAATGAGTTAACTCTGTCTTTTGACTTATTTGTTAGTCGAGTAATTGTTTCAACAGATTCGAAAAGTCAAAAATAGAAGTGGCAAGACATCCTGACTTTTAGTTGCGCGCGCGTGTGTGTGTGTGTGTGTGTGTGTGTGTGGTCATAGACCTGCACTGTGCCATCTGATCCAGCAGCAACACTCGGCTTCATTGAAACAGTAAACATGTTGCGTTGAGGCCTGAGAGCGCTCAATGACCACACTGTCTCTCTGACTGATGTCACTCTCACTGATGTGAGTGTGTGTGTGTGGGCTCACTATTTAACATATGCACATGGTCGCCCACGTGCATATGTTAAATAGTTGCTGTACTTCTGTATATTTTATGTGTGTGATCTCACCACATATCTGTCCCGTCTTCTTCAGGCACATCGGTCACGTGGGCTGGGATCCGAACACAGGTTTTGATGTGAGTACCCCCTTCTAACACAGACACACACACACACACACACACACACACACACACACGCGCGCACACACAGGAGCACAATAGTGACCTGTGTGGTGGCTGCATGATGAAATCACACAATAGGCTCTTTTTGCTTCCTGCTCATATTCACAAACATCTCGCTGCGTTTCAGAAGCTGCAGAATGTTCCAGAGAGAGCCAGGCTGCAGCCTCATCGAGTCGCCTGAGTGTCCACTGCTTTCTGAAGGAAACAAACAGATTTTAAATATAAATGCATTTAAAGACCCCCTCTTTTCTTTCTCCACAAATTTAAAAAGCCCTAATTTAATTAATAATCGTGGCACTAAAAATAAAAAGCTGCAGTGTCGTGTTGTGGCACAAAAGATACAGTTCTGTCCCCACTTCCCACCCACCTTATGTTGTATAAATAAAGTTGATCTGCCTTTATTTATCAGGCTTTAAACTCGCAAACACACTCACGACTGTGTGGTCCCCAACCAGCACTATTCCTGTCATAAAGGGAGCTCTGGCTGCCAAGAAGCTCCTCTTTGTATTTTAGCTCTCATCACTTTGTTCAGACTAAAAGGGAAACCTCGTTATGTGATCTGGTGCCACAGCAGAAAATAAATCCTCCTAATATGACCTCAGTGGGTGCTGTGATGGCATCACAAGTCCAGTAAGAGTAATGGAGGTTCTGCAGTTTTTGTTTCCTCTGATTATCGCTGCAAAGGAGCCAGACGTTTGAAAAGACAGAATAGCTTTTTCCTCATTTTAAAGTGCACACACAGCGAGGTGCGGAGAAGTGTTGGTTTCAGTGCATCATCTTGGTTTCATCAGGGTGGTGTCTGAGGCTGTTGATGACAAACTTGAAGCACAGTTGACTGGAGAAGAGTTTTGTAAAGCGTTTTGATTTTGAAAAATAGCCTTCAATATTTGATCAAGAGAGCCCTTCATTTACCTCATGAACAAATCGTTACTTCAACCAGCAAAATACTTCAACCAAATATACACAGTCCTGCTGGTTGTGATTTTCTCATTTAGTTTTGACTAATGTTTCCAGGACCCCGACTGGTTTCTCGTAGCAGCTGGTTCGTGTCATCGCTGAGTTTGTCCGCTCACGAACATTGTGTTCAGGCTGACGGGACTAACGAGCAGAAGGGTGACTGCTCTCCATTTGCTGCCTCGTTATTGTGCCTGTGTACCCGACTGAGCGAGCATGCTGAATGATCCTGAAAACATGTCAGTCACACACCAGACAGTCCCAGAATGCACTGCAGCATGACAGGAACCAGAGGTGTGAATGAGCTGCAGGTTAATGACTGATTTGATGGAAGGCAGCTGAGTGGTTTGGGTCAGGTAGTTTGTAGTTCTTCCTGTTGGCCACCAGGTGTCACACTGACACTGTGACTGAGAGCTGTACAGTTCATCTTCACTGCAGAGGAAGTCGAATCACTGCTTCTGTACTGTGGACAAAATATTTCTATTGAATGGCGTTATGGAGAGCAGAGAGCCTGAAACATGAAACCATATCATGACAAATAGACTTCAACAGAGGCTGAACTGAAGTTGTCTTCATGTGCGTACTTAAAGAGTTAATGATCCATCCCCAGGGACAAACGCACTTTTTTTTGCAGCCATCTTTTTGACCTTTCAGCCAGACTTACCTAGAAATAGTGTGCAAGAATTCTGATCAGTTGTGGCTCAAAGATTGTTGATACTATGCAATTTCAGTTGCAGCTGTCACACTTCATTGAGGCTGTTGTATACTCAAATGAGGTTTGACCACCAGGAGTCATCAGTTAACAGTATTTCGAGCTGACAAATCATCTTAAATTTGTCCTCAACACACACTTCAAGTCTTGTGTGTGTTTTTTAAAATGTTGTCTGTGTTGTCGATGTTGCAGCTGAACAACCTGGACCCTGAACTCAAGAACCTGTTTGACATGTGTGGCATCTCTGAGGCTCAGCTGAAGGACCGGGAGACGTCCAAGGTCATCTACGACTTCATCGAGAAGAAGGGAGGGGTGGAGGCCGTCAAGAACGAGCTGAGGAGGCAGGGTGAGAAAATACACACACACACACACACACACACACACACACACAGTCAGAGGTACCTGCCTTTGATGTATCAAACTGATCCTAAATAATAATGAAGTGCTGCAACAGCTGATCCGTTCCACCAGGAGGTCGACATTGTTCTGAAGGAATTAGAAATTAAATTCGATTTAGAAATGGAGAAACATTATTTGATGTGTTGTGAAAAACTTACCTGAGAGCAAAACAAAAAATAAAAGTAAAATATTAACAAACGTGCTTAGAAAGGAGAAAGAAGTGTAGACTTATATAATCCCACCTCCTTCTCACTATTTAACTGTCATTTAAAATGAATTTGTCAACAACTGTCCCGAACTTATTTACAACTATTAATATGAATAAATAAACATCAGTCTTAGAAATTAAATTTACAAACCTCATCTCAACTTCATTTACATCCCAAGTAACACCCAGAGCCAAATGAATAAATAACCAAGCCATCAGCATCACCCCTCTTGGTCTGCATACCTCCTAAAAATGTCTTCAGACCAAATACGAAACCATTTTAGAACGTTGCAGAACGGCACATTGCAAGTAGTTGTCTCTGTAGGGCTCTGCTCACTTTAGATGGATGTTTAAATGCAGGTGATGTTGCATGTGATTTTTATTGATCTGCTTTAATAATGCTGAAATATATTCTGTTTTTTACAGTTTTCCATTCAAACACTTTGTTTTCTTTTGACAAAATGGAAAAGCATCTGAAACAGATCTTAAAGGAATAGTCTGACATTTTGCAAAGTAGGCTTAGATGAGAGAAGGTTATTACCCCACTTATATCTGCAGCCAGCAGCCTGTTAGCTTAGCTTAGCACGAAGACTGTAAACTGAGGGAAATATGTGGCCCGACTTTGTGCAACTGTCACAAAATCCACCCAACGGCACCTCTAAAGCTCCGTCACTGACACATTATATCTCTTTGTTTAATCTGTACAAAAACCAAAGTGCAAAAACAACTATTTGTCATTTTATGGATAATTATGAGCCAGACTAATACTTGGATTTGAGTGGTTGCCAGGCAACAAGCGGGGATGAAGGAAGTTTCTGCCCAAAGGACAAATATGAAGGTGGTATTGATCTTTTCATCCAACTCTACACCAGAAGGTGAACAGGCGTATTTCCCCAGCTGTCGAACTATGTCTTAAACTCTCGTGGGAAAAGAGTCCCTTAAAGTTAAAAGTTTAACACCAACGAGAGAAGAAACAATTAGATTTAAATCTTTAAGTCCTCTCACAGACAAACGTTAAGGATTGATCCATTCAGTTTAAAAAGTTTATAACACCCAGAAAAATGATACAGAAACACAACAAACGTGAAGTAAGTATTATTCCTGCAGGTGTGACAGTTTTGCTTTTCTGCGTATTCATCATTTCAAACAGAAGCAAAATAACTTTTTTTATGAACTGATTTAAAATCCTCTCAGTTTTATCTTGAAATATCATTTCCTTCCTTTCTGCAGTATTTTTCTATCAGACAGTCTGTTTGAGGTGCGCAGATGAAACGTTATCCTGTGTCAGATACTTTTATTCTTTGTGACAGACTCTTCTTCTCCATGTTTTATTCATGTTAACCTGGAGAGACGAGTCGGAGTGATCTGAATCTGAATTTAAGGGTGTGTGTGTGTGTGTGTGTGTGTGTTTCACCACTGGTCAGATTTAGATTGTGGTATCGATGATGGATGGAGGGTCTTCTCATGTGGTCCCAGTGATTTAAAAATCAATCTGTGTGTGATCAGTATTGAAATATTATCTTTTTCAGTGGTTGTTTACGATTTCGTTTCTCTTCAAGTTTTCTTTGATTGAATTTTTTCTCCAGGCTGTAGAGACTATTCCTCGGGTTCTTCTCTAAAAACTCTCGGAGCCTGATAAAATCGACTTAAATACGTGTTTAAAGCTACAAAATACGCTCAATCAATAACTCTCCTATTGTGAAATTCTGGGCCGATACTTTGTTATAAAAAAAACCTAACTGAACTGTTATAGCCCGAGTAAGCACAAATTCAGTCACACAGATTAATGAAACAACCTTTGATATAACCTTTCACATGAAAAACATGTTTAAAAAAAAAAAAAGCAGCATGAAAAACTAATTTTACTGTACACAATACATCATGATTCCCTCTCAAATATCTATTTCAAATAAATGTACATATAATTAATTGCCATAAAAACATCAGCACATTTTTCCTTAAGACAGCTGCATTGATTCAAGTTTTTCAGCTACAAAACTAAAAAAACTACATGTCCCAAGATTACATTGAACACATCATGAGAGTGTTAACTCAGTGTAACCTCCCGTGAGCTGTTAGTTGCGTCCATCAGCTGCTTACAGCTCACAGAGAAGGCGCATCTTACCCAGACTCATGTGCTCGCAACTTTTATTAACCTTTCCATAGTGCCAGCACAAAACAAAAAGGAATGTACTGCCTTGTGCAGCGGCGTCCAAAAACGCACCACAAAGCCTGTTACACAACATTTATAGAAAACATGTTGTTCAATGCAAAAACTGTAAGAAACCGGTGCATTCTGTTTTTATATTGAAATCGTGATCACTGCTCATCATGAGTGGGCGTGGCTTAAGTTACACTGGAGGAAACTTCTAGTGACATTAAGGGCCCGTCCCAAAAACCCCCCCCCCCAGCCCTATCCCTTGGCCCTACCCCTACAGTTACGTGTTCCCGCGAGGGGTAGTGGTGTCCCAATTCCTTTTTGCGTGTAGGGGTAGGGGGCATAACGAGGGGTAGTGGGTATGAAACTAGCCCTTCGGAGCGAGGGATTTCAGATGCTGACTTGCCAGCGAGGGGTAGTCGCCATGGCTACCACCGAGCAAGAGACGGAGGAAAAAGTTCATTCATAGCTAACATTACCGTCGTCAGGTAGCTTGTTAGCTAGCTAGCTAGCTCACACTATCTGGCGTCTGTCATCTCTCCTGTTCTGCAAAACTCTCAGATTTTTCACATTACGATAACACGCTAGCTAGTATAACTATGCTGCCTCGTAATGTTAGCTGGTTAGCTAGCTAGCAGAAGCCCCCTGTCGTCTGTCATTCGTCAAACGAAGCACGATGAATGCGGCAAACGTGATCGGTAGGATGAACTCAACTGGAGACTCCATTGTAAACGCCGGTTGGAAATGTGGATGGCTCGCAGCGTCCTGTTTAAAATAGTTAAGTATGCGTAAACGTAACCGACGTGGTGACGTAGTGAGTGGTGTCCCAATTCCTAGGGAAAGATTTCTACCCCTACCCCTCGTTGCTTCATTTTGAGGGCTAAGGTGCAGTGGACAAGGGGGGCTATTGGGATTGGGCCTAACACGTCTCTGTGATGTCATCTTCAGGTGTGGTGATACGACCTGATCTCATGTCTTTTCTCTCCCCCCCTACAGCACCCCCTCCACCTCCTTCCCGTGGCGGTCCCCCTCCTCCTCCTCCACCCCCACACAATTCTGCTCCACCACCTCCTCCTCCCCCGTCCAGAGGCGGCCGTGGAGCCCCGCCTCCCCCTCCTCCGTCCAGAGCCCCCACCTCAGCTCCTCCTCCTCCGCCTCCCTCCAGACCAGGAACTCTGGGTGCACCACCTCCTCCACCTCCTCCCACCAGAGGAGGTCACCAGCCCCCTCCTCCTCCCCACCATCACCACCACCACCAGCCTCCCCCTCCTCCACCTTCCTCGCACTCCTCTGCCTCCCCCCAGGCCCCGCCGCCTCCACCTCCTCCATTGGCCCAGCAGTCTCCAGTCAGTGGAGGTGGCAGCTCGGCCCCTGCTCCACCTCCTCCGCCGCCTCCTCCACCTCCTCCTCCTGGCCCCCCTCCCCCTCCAGAGCTGGACGGTGTCAGTGGAGGCGGAGACTCTCCTCACTCGCCGAGCCCCGGTGGGAAGTCGGCGCTGCTGGAGCAGATCAGAGGAGGAACTCAGCTGAAGAAGGTGGAGCAGAACAACCGAGCGCCGTCCTCCGGCGTGGGACGAGACGCCCTGCTGGACCAGATCCGACAGGGAATCCAGCTCAAGACCGTACGACAATCACATCGCTCCTTTCTTTGAGTCATAACTCGGTCAAATCTAATCACACAGACACGATACTCATATTTTTAGATTCAGTGTGACGTACAGTTTTCTGTGATATAAATACCTCTGATGTCCATTAAAGATTAATATTCATAAATCCCCTTAAAGTTCAAAGAAATAAGGTGCTCCCTACAACATTTAGAGATTTATCAGAATCAAAATGAATCCAGTGGTTTTGTTTTTACATCCATGGTTACAGTGCAAATAAGAACTGCTAACGGTTCATTCAGCATGACTTTTTATGGCACATATTTTCCAAATGTAAACAATTCTAGGCGTACGAAAATAGGTAAAAATTAAGTAACAAAGCAAAGTCTTTGATGTTGTTTGCTGTCTTATGTAAAATCAGATCAATAGAAGTTTAGACAGCAAAATGTTTTATTATTGCCGTCACACAAAAATCTGTAATGCTTTTTATGATCAAAGAAACATCTGATTTGTACCTTATATTAAACTGGAGCGGATCTGTTTGTGTGTCTTCAGGTGCCGGATCATCCAGAGTCCGGCCCTCCAACGTCGGCTCCCACTGCGGGCATTGTCGGCGCTCTCATGGAAGTGATGCAGAAGAGGAGCAAAGCCATCCATTCCTCAGGTAACTAACTTACATGTGGCATGAGCACTGTCAATTTCGTCCACTTGCAGTGTTTGGTTTTTGCTGCTGACAGGCTCAGACTATTGTTACAAATGTCTGACAACATTATGGAAAGGATCCCTACAGAGAACAACCTCTGTGTTGAAGAATCAGATCCTTTTGGTTTCACCAGAGACAGCCCCAAAATCACTTTGACCAAACCCACCAGACTCCATTTAAATAAACAGTAATTCTATCATCATACAGCACACTTCATTCAAAGTCGATAGAAACAAAATAAAACTCACAGAAACCATCTTGGTTTGCCTTTCCACTACGGCTGCTCGATTAATCGAATTTTAATCTAGATTACGACTTTCAGCGATTATGAAAACAAAATAATCGACATAAAACGATTATGCGCTTCTTGTCAGTTTACTTTCGTTGTCTCGTGTTGCAAATCAAACGCACAACAGCGTGTGGAAAATGGCAGAGGGCGAGCGAGAGAGGTTGGTGGGTGGGTGGGTGTGTGTGTGCGTGCATGTGTCTATGTGTGCGTACATGTGTCTGTGTGTGTGTGCGCGCGCATCGGGGCCGAACTCCGCCGTGCGCGATACAGAGAGCAGAGGAGAATTATAAACGCGACCATGTAGAGACAGAAATGACATGCCTTCCTGTAAACAATGTCAGTCATCACGTGCGCCACATAATTGTGATTATGATTTTTTTCCATAATCGAGCAGCCCTACTTTCCACTGCTCAACAATCATCCACTCTGGTTTGTTTTAAAATGAACGCTTAATTCACCCAGTTAGATGTGAAATGTTGCGGCTCTATACACACTTAAATTACTGTATATTTAAGTCTGGAGTTTAAGGAAATAGTCATCAACTGAGGAAGTGCATCGCCTTCTGATGGAGAGCTGAGACTGTCAGTACTGTCCTTATATTTGTCATTCAAGCAGTAACTTCCTCTGTGTCTGCTTGTTGCCTGGCAACTGCTTAAATCCAAGAAATAGTCAGACTCATAACGGCCTGTAAAATGGCAAATAGTTGTTTTTGCCTTTGAGGTGCTGTTGGGTTGATTGTGTAAAGTTTGGACAGAGTCGGGCTCTTTCCGCCTGTTTCTAGTCTTTGTGCTAAGCTAAGTTAGCGAGCTGCCGGCTGTAGCTTCATGTTTAACTGACAGACGTGAGAGTGGTATCAACCCTCTCTGCTAACTCTGAGAAGCATCAAACTTTTCCTTTACAGCAGAACTCCTATTCTTCAGTCTTATCGTTTACATTCACCCTGTAGCTTCAGACTCGTGAGTCAATGAATGAAAAGATTTATTCTCTGGATTTCTCTTTAAATGTGTTTTTGTTTTCCAGACGAAGACGAGGATGACGACGAAGACGAGGACTTCGAAGACGATGACGAGTGGGACGACTAGTGAAGATCTCTCCTTGACCCCCCCACCCCCACCTGCACCTACCGCTGACACTAAAATATCCTCTAAAAATCTTCCAGCATCTGACTAAAATTGTAATGTAAATGTTGTAAGAATTGGCTGTATATTTATTTTTGCCTTTTTTTTGCTTTGTTTTTTTTTTATGATAATTATAATTAATCTGTGCAATACCTCATCTGTTAAATCTGTTACATTCGTCACACATCCTCATCGTTAAAGAGACTTTCCCCGGGATTTCCTGTTATTAGAAAGCACTTAATCATCAGCACCATGTGGAGACACATCCGGATACATTTCATATCAATAATCAATAATATAAACACTAGGCTGCTCCACTGAGGAATCTGAACTTCATGTGCTCCGTGGGAAATATTGTTATGTATTCATTTCTTTGTGTTTTCATTCCTCGGGAAAAGGGAGACGTACATGCGACCAAACAGGCAGGATCCTCTTTGTGTTTGACAGCGGTCGCTCTAAACGCCAGATAACACTATTTTCTTACCGTGCTTCTTTTTTCGTACCTCTCGAGTTTCCTAATAAATTGTAGTTTAGTCGTGTTATTTTTTCATAAATCCTTTTTGACCAAAATGCGGCGGCAGCCTCGCGTTGATTCTCGACTTTTATTTTTTATGAAGTTAAAGCCGTTTATTTGCACACACACAGTTTATACGATAGTACAGTTTTGTGTTTTTCAGGTGTGCGTTTGTCGAGTACATTTTAATTTTGTTTTCAGGCAGGTCACAGTGACGACGGACACTTTGAAAAGGTTCTGCAATGTTGTGACCTTTTTAAATGGAAATACAAAGCATGACTGACGATGTTTCACTTTCTTTGGCTTAATACAGAAACATGTCTGCACACACACACACACATACACACACACACACACACACACACACACACACACACACACCGTGGCATTTGTGAAATGATGGTTTTGTTCTTAATGTCTGGTTGGTTGTTTTTGTTGTGACATCATTCCGTTATTTCCTGCAGGAAGAATCAGCAGCAGCGCTCCGCTCGGTATTTCAATTATCACATCATGCACAGAGAAAAGATAAAGACATCACTCATCCTCTTCCGTCCACCAGTTAACAAACTATAATTTTATGCAATGCGACTGTAAATGTCTCCTCGTGGAGAATAATAATAAAAAAAAAGCAAATAATGAACCAAATGTGGCATTTGCAAGCAGCTTGTGGGTTTGGCCATGCCTGTGATCCTCCGTCCGTACGTGGAGATAAAGAAATAACCGACGCTCGTTTTAACTGTTGATGTTAAAGAGTTTTTACCGTCCTCCAGCGAGGCTTAATGCTGCATCGAGAAGCCGAGATACTGACAGTGAACCTGTGAAAAGGGTTGGGAGGGGTGGGGGGGTGATGAGAATACTAAATTGTATACTTAAATAAATGTTACTATTTACAGAGAATTTTGGCTCCTGTTTTTTGTCAGTGTTTCTGCGTCTGGTGCTTCAGAGACGTTAAACTCAGTCCTTCATCGGACTGTTTGGTTTGAGATTCAGGAGTTTATTTGTATTTTTTATTTAAATCCTTGTGGAAACAGTGAGCCAGCACTTCAGGTGTGGTGAACGACCTGTACAGGGTCGCTCTGTGTCAAGTTAGATTTTAGATTTTTGAGAATTTCAGGGAATTTTGTCATGTTTTAAAACCTTAAAAAACATCTGACAGGAAGCCATTTTAAGTGTTCTTTATCTTCTACACATATTGCTCCTACAGCCATAACATTTCTCATCTGCTGATGCTTTTTAATCATTTGGATCTGTTGTACAACATTTTGTCTGTGCCTTGACCGAATTTAAAAGCTGTTAGAGTTACATATCTGAAGATATTGAACCCTAATCATGTACTGGTTGGGTAACATATTTATATTTAAAGCTCAGTCAAGAACCAATTTGAATTCGAAATACAGCAATGGCAATTTCTTATAGAAAAAATTATTTCTACAAATGATGGTAAAGTAGCACAATGTAGTATGAAGACCAGGCCTCTAATTGAGACAGGCCTTTAAATGTGTAGCCACACCAGGCTAGTAAAAGGGACTTGGTGTTTGTTTGGTGCTTTGCTTTTAATTGAAGTTTTATGGTATACATAAATACCTGCAAAACTACTGACATTTGTATCATCAGCTTCAGCTATACTGTTTTTAGTGCTAATTAGCAAATGTCAGCACGCTAATGCATTAATTAATGTTGTGCTAAACAAGTTTTCACTACGCTAACCTCAGGCAAATTGGCGCTCGTTCCTGAGCGACAATACGTGGGACTTTTCAAAGATGGGAGGCAGGCTGTGAAGTTTGAATGCTCTCTGTGTCAGTGTGGGTTCTCTCCTGGTTCTCTGGCTTCCTCCCACAGTCCAAAGACATGCAGGTCAGTTGGTGACTTAAGGTTGGTTAGAATGGTTGTACAGGATGTATCCCACCTCTCACCCAGTGTCAGCTGGGGTCGGCTCTACCCTCGCGACCCTGATTACAAGAATCAGTTATGGATAATTAATGAATGAATAACCTGAGGGATGTGCTGATAAGTTGCAGACCCCCAAAAGATATTAAGGAGTCCTGTAGTGTAAAATTTGTTTTGACCTGCCATGACAGCAGCAACAACGTTAAGCTGTAACAGAGCATCAGCTAGCAGATCAGACAATCCTTGCAGCCCTTGTCTCCCAAACCACACTATCACCCGCATTCTGTTGTTTTTCTTAGTTAGTTTTTCATTGCAAATCAGTGCACAATCTTGGATCAGTTGCACGTGTGACCCCCCCCGTTACCAGTCACTTGTGACATGCAAATTCAGCAACTCCAGGATACCTCATTATGAGACACTCACATAATGTGATCAGTTACAGCAGTCTAATGACTTTAAAAACTTTACAGTGTGCAGGTGTCATAACATGGTAAACACTTTACCTGCCAAACATCAGCATGTCCTCACAGAGCTGCTAACGTGACTGTAGCTCCTCGTCTTTAGTCTTTATTCAAGATTCAGACTGAAGACAAACAACTATTCCCCAGCTCTGCAGACAGAGCGCTTCAGCAGGACAAATGTATGTTAGAAGAACTCGTGTTTTAATGAGTGATACAGTGAGTACAGTGCTTCTGAGTGGGCAGCTGGGCCGTCTCCTCAGACAGACATGCTGCGGTGTCTCTCAACACTTCACAAGTGGACGATTTTCCTCCAATTAAACTTGAGTCTAACATTTAGGTGGCATTTTGTTAAAGATGTTTAGTGTTGTAATGAGGGGTCACACAGTTACACTGTCCTCCCTGAGGAGAGTCCATATTTACTTTGAACAGCTGTTTGGTGAACTTCAGTGACTCTGTGTGTGTGTGTGTGTGTGTAGACCAGATTAGAAAGTGATTCATAGACAGACAGATCTAAAGCGCTACTGATTCTCTGCCAGCTGATATCGGATCAAATCACACATCACTGATCTGTCTGCTGTGTGCATAGAGTGTATGAAAACTTGTTGTGTTGAATATCAGTTAGCTACAAACACAGCTGGAAATGTCCCAATCTCCCGATAAAAAATACCTGCTTTTGGGGCGTCGGTGGCTTAGTGGTAGAGCAGGCGCCCCATGTACAAGGCTGTTGCTGCAGCGGCCCGGGTTCGACTCCAGCCTGTGGCCCTTTGCTGCATGTCATCCCCTCTCTCTCTCTCTCCCCCTTTCACACTTAACTGTTCTGTCCATTAAAGGTAAAAAATGCCCCAAAAAATATTTTAAAAAAAACACCTGCTTTTGTTGCTGCCGACAAAGCTGGAAGCATCCCAAACTCTGATTAAAAATAACCAATTTTGCTGCAAACATGGCAAGAAATGACCCAAACTCTTGGTAAGAAAAAACAACACTTTTGTCACTGCAAATACAGCTGCAAACACCCCGAACCCTCATTAAAAAAACTTGCTTTTGGGGCGTCGGTGGCTTGGTGGTAGAGCAGGCGCCCCATGTACAAGACTGCTGCTGCAGGGGCCCGGGTTCGACTCCAGCCTGTGGCCATTTCCTGCATGTCACTCCCCCTCTCTCTCCCCCTTTCACACGTCTGTCCTGTTGATTAAAGGCTAAAATGCCCGAAAAAATATCTTTTTAAAAAAAAAATACCTGCTTTTCTTGCTGCCAACACAGCTGGAAACACCCTGAGCTCTTGTTAAAAAAAATACCCACTTTTGTCACCGCAATCACAGCTGGAAACATCCGAACTCTCAGTAAAAAATACCTGCTTTTGTAACTGCCAACACAGTAGGAAATGTCTTAAACTCTCGTTAAAAAATAATGAACTTTGGCTGGAAACATGGCTGGAAATGTCACAAACTCGCAACAAAAAAATACCTGCTTTTGTCACCACAAACACAGCTGGAAACAAACAGTGGTCTGCCACTGTCTGCTTCTTAACAGCTGTCTTGCCTTGGTGTCACGCCTCATACTCGTGGTGAGAAACTCTGCTCATGTCATATGTATGGCGTAAACAAATGAAAGTTTGGTGATGCTAACAGAAAAGCTTTGTATTCACTGAAATTAATGTTTTTTCTCTCTGTAGCATAAATGTGTGCACTAAATTTTGAGCCAGTCCAGTTATTATTCTGAGATATGTTAGCAAACACAACAAGACACAGACGGACGTGGATGGATGGACAAACAGAAGGACGGACAGAGGTGATCGCAAAACTTCGCAAAAGGTGGAAAAAATAAGTTTATCTGAATATAAAAGAAAATAGTTATTTTTAGTTTCATTGCGTGCAAGAATAAAATGCTCCTGTATGCCCCAGGAGTCAAAGAGAAGTCAGCAGGCCTCTCCCTATCATGCCCCCACTAACCTCCCTTTTGATATCAGACTGTTAAGACCTTTGAATCTAAACTGGAAACTCATCTCTTCATCTTAACTGTCAGTTAGACGTCTAGTCTTTGATTACTTCAGACCTTGTTTTTAATATCCTTCCAGTGGACCGTTATTGTGCAGTCACTACCTGTGATAAGTATTCCAACTAAGTGCTCTTTTTCCAAGCCAGATAAAGATCTTGTTTGTGTTGGTGGTAACACTTTCTCATGTCCAACCTCTGAATTCATGTCACAAAGCCCTAAAGCTCTCTTGGCCCACGGCCCATGATGTCTGGATCACACACTGTGTGTTATTTTATCCTGCCTGTTTGAATGGTGAGTTTTGCTCTTTGTGTGTTTGTGTAGCCTGTCTCCTTTCCAGGTTTCCAGGGTGAAGAGGTCATGTGGCTCACTTCTGCTCAACAACCTCCTGGATCCATTCTTCATGAACAGTATGTTTATTAGCTATTATATCAAAGCAACAAAGCAAAACAACAGTCATAACGTGACTACCAGTACAAGACATGCTAGGAGTCAAGCTAACGTTAGAAAGGGAGAACTGCTTTTAAACTTTTCTTACATCTATTTCCGGAGTTAAATACGGTCACATGCCATTATTAAATACTGTTAACGTTACGACAGTCACCTTACTAGCATACATTGACAAAACAACAGTCATAACGTGCCTACTGGTACAACATAATGCTAGTAGTCAAGCTAATGTTAGAACTGCTATTGAACTTTTCTTACATTTGTATTCAGAGTTAAATACAGTCACATGCCATTATTAAAAACTGTTTATAATAACGTTATGACAGTCATCTTAAAGGCATGTATACATTGACAAAACCAGGTTCATAACCTGCCTACTAGTACAAGACATAATGCTAGTAGTCAAGCTAACGTTAGAACTAGAGAACTGCTATTAAACTTTTCTTACATCCAATGTTATTTCCGGAGTTAAATATGGTCACATGCCATTATTAAAAACTGTTAAAATAA